CCCTATATAGGAACGCGTTTTAATCGAGTTCATATCGCAACTATATTAAAAGTTAATTCAACTATATTAAAAGTTAATTCAATGGTGGCTCCACAATTCATGGGACACCTGTATGTGTGTGTGTGTGTGTGTGTGTGTGTGTGTGTGTGTGTTAATTATCAGGTTTACATTATTATATAAACTACTCATTAGGATGTGCAAGTCGTATTTCCAGGACATCCAATGATTATATCACGGTTAGTAACCGTCACGCAAAGTAGTGACAAGGATAGTCCAGTATGCAACGATTAATAGGTTTATTCTTAAAACTACGAACGTCCAATGAACAACTGATATAATCACTAACTTTAAACGAGCCCGGGCTGATGTCTTAGTTCAAAGTTAATGTCATTTCAAGGGTTGTTTCGATTGAGCGGTTAATAACAATTGTCCCTACTGAGAATGTTGACAATGAGCAATGGCGAAATACGACTACATTTTTACCATAATATTACCATGACATCAACTTCTACAGTATGTTTCGGGTTTACACTAGCAGTAGGTATTATTGAACTATCTTTGAAACTAATAAATAAACGCATTTGGGCACCAAACCTAATATATATATATCATGTATATGACCTTGAACAACCTACATTTTCAATTTTCGTTAACAATTTATTTTGTTCAGACCATGGTCGTCATGCACACATTTTACTAAGCTCGGTACAGTGAGTGGCATGATGTTCTGATTTAACTGTTCTAATTGCTGGTGTTTCTGTCTACTTATATCGTTCGTCAGGTACTGACATTATTCCAGTAGTAGCAGGAGTACTAGGTGGACTCTTAGCGTTGGCTGCAACTGGTATTTTGCTTTTCCTTATAAAGCGTAAGAAGAAAAATAATGAAGGGAAGACAAAGGTTTCACCCAAGGAAACAAAAGATGACACGCCAGACGACACAGTGTGATCCTCTGACCACGCATGTAAACGTTATTCGTCAATAAAACGCGATTTCTACTTGCCC